AATTTAACTCTGTGCCTATATTGACTATATATAAAGTAATTCTCTTGAATAGGAATCAAATAAACACAAAGAAAGTATTTTATAATTACTTTATTATGAAATATTAAGTAAATAAAATAGTGAAAAATTATAAAATTCTTGTCTTGTCTGCACCTACGGCACACCAGGCAACATCTTGCGGCACACTAGTGTGCCGCGGAACAGCGGCTGAAAAACGCTGGTCTAAGAGATTGTCATGATCTAGCTGTTGCTATTCCCATTTTCACATAAGGAAACCAAGACTCAGAGAGGTTAGGGTACTTACTTGAGGTCACACAGCCAGTAGATATTAGAATCAGGAATTGAACCCAACCCAGACTGACTCCAGGTCTGACTTTCCATAATACCCATCCTGCCACCCCTGTAAGGAGGTGGAGCCAGAAGGACACACGTTTAAAACTTCCCATTCCTGCCCACCTGATACTTCCCTGCATAGCCCACCGGAAGGAGTGGGGTTTAGGTTTTCTCTCATCTCTAGATTCTTGCTGCTCAGAGTTGTAGCATCAGGATCACCTGGAGCTTGTTAGAAATGCAGGGTGTCAGGCCCCACCCAAACCCACTGAATTAGAAGCCGGTTTTTAAAAGATCTCTGGTGACATGATGCCCACCAGGGCCTGAGAAGCCCTGCTCTGCATCACACAGACTTCTCTCTTCCTCCTCAGTTAAGCCTTAGTGGCAGGTGAGGTAATGGAGAGAAAGGTCAGCCCATTCTTAGGTGATCTAAATTAGGAGATTACTCACATGCTTGCTGGGTTCCTCCAACTTTTAAAACTTGACTCTAGCCAAAACCGGTTTGGCTCAGTGGTAGAGCGTCGGTCTGCGGACTGAAAGGTCCCGGGTTCGATTCCGGTTAAGGGCATGTACCTTGATTGCGGGCACATCCCCAGTTGGGGGTGTGCAAGAGGCAGCTGATGGATGATTCTCTCTCATCGACGTTTCTAGCTCTCTCTCTCTCCCTTCTTCTCTGTAAAAAATCAATAAAATATATATTAAAACAAAACAAAACAAAAAAAACTTGACTCTAGGCCCTAGACTCTAGGCTCCAGAAAAATCATGGAATGGAATCTAAAACAGGTGTGTGAGCCTGTAGACAATAGTTTGATAGTTAACACTTGAGACTCACTATGAGTTCAACATGAGAAAAAGAATCATTTCAAAATCATTACATTTTCTTTCTCTTAAAAAAAATTATTGCTTTGAGAGAGAGAGAGAGAAGGAGAGATTTGTTGTTCCATTTGTTTATGCATTCATTGGTTGATTCTTATATTTGCTCTAATCAGGGATCAAACCTACAACCTTGGCCTATCAGGATGATGCTCTAATCAACTGAGCTACCCAGCCAGAACACATTTTCTTCTTCCGAAAAGTAATAACAAGTTTATTATAGCAGAGTGATTGAAAATAATCTCATGAGCTAATATGAAAGTGACATATTGAACTGATATTGAATTGATTCAAGACCTGATAAGTGGTTATATACATGATTGTAAAGGTCTACCATCCAGTCTGGGAAGAAGTCTTTCTTTGCTTGTTTTTTTTTTTTTTTTTTTTTTTTTTTTAAATATATTTTTATTGATTTCAAAGAGGAAGGGGGAGGAAGAGAAACACCAATGATGAAAGAGAATCAATGATCAGCTGCCTCCTGCACGCCCCCTACTGGGGATGAGCCTGCAAGCCCAGCTTGTGCTGGGCTGGGGTGAAGTTTATATTGTATCACTCCAGGGCTCTGTCTCCCTCTTCTCCTGGCCAAAGTGGTTCTTAGTGACTTTGAAGGGCATTCCACTGAATTTCTTATGGACATACCTGTAGCTCATGGCAGATAGACTATTCTCTAAGCAGGCCCTGTTATTCTTTAAGTCAGTTCACAGGAGTCTGGAGGCAAGTGCCATAGCAGGTGTGTTCTCTCGCTTTGTGCCACGTTAGGAAGATCTGCCCTAATGAGACTCCCAGGCAGTGTCAGCCAGAGAGGGCAGTGCCAGGGGTGCATACCTAGTGCAGGCAATAAGGGGGCGCTCTCCGCACAGGATTGAAAAACAATAACAAATCTAGTAAAAGTCAATTGTCACCGTGCACTAGCAATGCTAAACAATGTCAGAGATAAAAACTCTTCCTTGAAAAAAAAAAAATCTATATTGCTCTAAAATAAAAAAAGATTGCTGGTGAGCAAACCTCAAATCAGCACATTTTAAAATTACTCATCCTTGAATAAACATTGTATTCTGCCTGGAAGTTAATTCGGAGGACTCTCAGTTGGATGGCTAGTCCCTAACACATGCGCTCTTGGCTGCACTGATTGCTGTCAGGTAAGTTTTTAAGGTTCAGAGTTGGAGCTTACATGGGCCACAGTGATGTCTCCAGTCCCCAATACACCACATCTCCCTGCAATGTAAGTAGCTTAGAAATCACCAGTAAAAGATAAAGAAGCAGAACTTCTGTTATTCTAGGTGACCATTGGAATTTTTATTAGCTTTTAAAAGAATATGTTTTTATTGATTTTAGAGAGAGGGAGAACCATTAATCGACTGTCTCTTGCACGCCCCCTGCTGGGGGACCCAGGGGTTGAGCAGCAACCTGGGCATTATGCCCTGACCGGAACTGAATACTAGGCGACATTGGATGACACTCAACAGACTGAGCCCTGGAGGCCAGGGCTTATTAGCATTTAAAATGTAAAAGAATGCAACAGTGTGAGAACTATGAAGTGTAATATATATGTTTGGTAGGTGCAAATTGGCTGTGTTCCTAGAACCCTGGGCCTAGCCTTTGGGCTGGTCCTTGAGCCTGAGGCCTCAGCACTGGCTGCTGGGTCTTGCTTGATTGCCCTCCTTAGCTCACTTTCCTTTGGCTGCAGGTACATGTGATAGGCACATCGGAGAACACCGGAACAGGGTGAGATTTTTAGATACGTGTATAAGGAACTACTGAAGGAGCTGGGAATGTTTAACTTGGAGAAGGAAAATGAAGAAGAAGCATCTTCAAATTAAAAAAAAAATATTTTATTGATTTCATAGAGAGGAAAGAAGAGGGAGAGACAGAAACAACAATGATGAGAAGGAATCTTTGATTGGCATACACCCTACTGGGGATCGAGCTCGAAACCCAGGCATGTGCCCTGATTGGGAATCAAACCGTGACCTCCTTGTTCATGGGTCGACTGTCAACCACTGAGCCACACCGCCTGGACAGTCTTCAAATTATTGAAGGGCTTGTTCCATTAAACAAGGATTCAGAGGGCCAAATTACGTTATAGGAGTGTTTTTCTGGAGAGCAAACTCAAGCTTAACATGAGGAGGTGGGCAGTCATTAGGACTCGCCAACAATGAACTGTTCTTGGAAGCAGCAAACTTTTTGTCACTATGGGAATTAAAAGTCATAGCCGGGGATGGGATTTCTGTACTTGTATATTTTGTTGAAGGTTCTTCCTGCAGGCTCTAGAATTCCACATTTCTAAAAGCCCTTGTTTTCTTATACTTTAAAGAGCCATGTTCGGATTGTTAGCCCCAACCTAAGTTTCCTCCCAGGGAGCGCAACACTTCCCTGCGTGCCACCTAACTTCTTCCCGTCACCTCTCTGCTTTCATGGCCAGGATTTTTTCCCCACCTTCTTTCCCAGTATGCGGTTGGGGCCGGTAGATATTGTATATTATCATAGGTCCCAAACCCACCAGATTACACTCATCTGGGTGATGGGTTATGTTTTGAAATATGTTTCCTTCATGCTAGCCCATAACCTTGTCTGTCTGAATCATGGCTTTAACATGGGGAGACATGGGACCCCAATGGGAACTCTGGGAAGCCAGAAGCATCTTCCCACATCTCTCCCTCACCCTCCGAAAGGGCAAGCATTGTTCCCTACCTACATCATTTCCACTCTCTCTGAGCCGGGAGACCACATCAGATAACACCCGTGATATCAGGAACCCTCTGATTCCTTTAAAAAAATATGTTTTTATTAATTTTTATTTTTTTGGAGAAAGGAAGGTAAAGGGGAGAGAGAAACATCAATGATTAGAGAGAATCACTGACTGGCTGCCTCCTGTTCATGCCCTATTAGGGATGGAGTCCATAACCCAGGCATGTGCCCTTGACCTGCAATCTAACCGTTACCTCTTGGTTCCTATGTCAATGCTCAACCACTGAATCACACCGACCGGGCTAACCTGGTCATTCTTAATGCTGCAAAACACAGAACTATAACATATGTCATAATGTGCAGACCTCATTTTGTATAAAATATATCATGTTTCTTGTTGCGACATATTGTGGATAGTTATGATTTTTTATTCTTTGGGAAAAGGGACAGTTCTTTTCAACAATGAGAAGGTCAGGCCACACAGAACGCCCCTCCCATGCCACTGTGCCAATAACCTGGGCATTTTGGCATTTCCACTCACTCCCTTTGCCTAGAAGACGTCCCGGTTTCTCAAGTGTCTTCTCCAGTGTGTGCCAGGAACACTTTGTGCCTCCCCTGTCACAGCGCTCCTCACGCTGTACAGTGATTGCATACTCTCCTGTCCCTCTGGCCCTTTGTGGGAGTCCCGGTGCCTGTAGGTCATCCACCTATACGTGCCGAGTTACATTGAAGGGCTTACTAGTACCGTGTTTCCCCGAAAATAAGACATCCTCCGAAAATAAGACCTAGCTCATGGAAAGATAAGACATTCCCTGAAAATAAGACCTAGCGCAACTTTGGGAGAAAAAAATTAATATAAGACACTGTCTTATTTTCGGGGAAACAGGGTATATGCAGAGCTCAGTAGTATCCCCATTTGGTTCACTTTAAAATATCTGCTAAAAAGATAGTTACAGCGAAAGGGCCTTTGGAAGCCCAGCCCCTCTCTTTGAAAAGTGGGAGTTTGAAGCTTAGAAAGACAAGCTTGGCCCCCAGACTTTGAAAGGCCAGTGTGGTCTCTTTTCATGGTGCCCCCCGAATTCAGTCATGTTTTCTCTCTCTATTTCCAGCCTCGTTAACTTTGTGTGCCACACCTGCTTCAAGAGGCAGGAGAAGCTCCATCACTGCGGGCAGTGCAAGTTTGCCCGTTACTGTGACCGCACCTGCCAGAAGGATGCGTGGGTAAACCACAAGAAGGAGTGTTTGGCCGTCAAAAGATACGGGAAGGCGCCCAATGAGAACATCAGGTCAGAGCGGGGCCCTGCGGAAATGTTTGGGGTTTCCAGATGTCAGGGGGGATGGGTGGCAGTGAGCATGCCCTGCCCTATGGAAGCCGGGCTCAGTGCAAAGCAGGACAGAGCCCCCAAGAGATCAGATATGGCCACATCTATGGGCACCCCTTAGGCCTGGGAGCCCGTCTAAGAGGGAGGACAGGTTAATGGCTCCAAAATACAGACCCAGGCTGGAGCTGGCTGCAGACTCATTCTGTATGGCTCCCTAATATTTAATTTAAAAATATTGATTTGCCAATGTTCAAAAATTGGAAATTTCACATAAAAAAAATTAGGGTTTTTTTGGCCCGTCTTGAAAAAAATATCTGAAGATTTGGCAAAATGAGCTGGAGCTCAATACATCTACCCCCTTTATAAAATATGGAGTTTTTCAAGGAATCACAGCCCCTCTAGTCCTGCTGGTTGTACACACAGCCCTCTGCACCGAAAGGCACTTGCATTGGCAGCAGTTAGCGGCCTCCCTGAACAGCCATCGCCAGAAGTTTCAGGGCTAATGCCTTGGACGCCCCAGTTCAAGAAATCCCAAGTCCTGGAGCTCCACCAGGGGAAGGCCTGATGTTCTACCAGGGCCTGGGGCTTATGAAGCCGGCAGTGGAGAGCAAGGGAGATGGGGAAGGGGAAGTTGGGGTCATCTTTATCATGTCTCTTGGTTACAGGCTTTATCTTGTGGGTATGAGCTGTTTACTATTGATAGTTAACAGGGGGTCCTCTCTGCATACAGAGCTGGCTCCTTTGTTTAGCTTGAGTGTGCTTCACTTTCCATCATGTTGCCTGATTCTATTTTCTGCATAGCATTTAAACCTAGTTTAGTGATCTTTTAAACGTTTGTCTCCCCCACTATAAGAAACTTCTTGATAGAAGAAATTCTATTTGGTTCAAAACTGTGTGTTGGTCCTGACACTGTGCCTGGCATGCATTAGGCACTCAGTATGTGTTTGTTGAATGAATGGAAGCAGTGGGTCTCCCTAACCCTGCCCTTCTCCGCAGGCTGGCTGCGCGCATCATGTGGCGGGTGGAGAGAGAGGGCACCGGGCTCACAGAGGGCTGCCTGGTGTCCGTGGACGACCTGCAGAACCACGTGGAGAACTTTGGGGAGGAGGAGCAGAAGCAGCTGCGGGTGGACGTGGATACGTTCTTACAGTACTGGCTGCCCCAGAGCCAGCAGTTCAGCATGCAGTACATCTCGCACATCTTCGGCGTGGTATGGTTTCTCATGAAGTGGGGGGGTGGGGGGTGGGAGGGGAGAGTGACAGCTGGGATTGTCCACCGAATAAGTTTTCAGATGCTGCCAGGGCAGAGTGGGGAAGAGGGACCAAGAGAAGAACTGGAGGGAGACAGAGCCCTAGAATGAACAACTATCATCCTGTCCTCTGTTTTTCTGGTCTTGCTTACTATGAGGTCATCTGACGTTGCATCCCAACAAGACTCTATGATCTCTGAATGGTAGACTTGGATGTTATTTTACCTCCTTGTTTATCCGCATATCCTGTATTCTCTCCTTCCCACTTTGAAAACAAAGACCCAATTACCCATTCCTTCTTGCCTATTAGTCACCTTGAAAATAAGGCCCTTCCTTTTCTGAGGTCTGAGGGGCAGGATAATGGGAGTAGTGGATGTGGAAGCCAGAGAGAGGGGAGTGAGGGCCTCTCTCCTGCAGCCTTGGGAGTCCAGGAGGTGGGGGTGAAGTCCAGAGGGGTGAGACCTTGGGCTGTGGGGATAGATGTCTTCCTTCTGGCAGGCCCAGCACCTTCTGTGGGGTTGGTGAACTGGCTGAAGAGGGAGGTTATTTAATAATAGCAACAGCATAATCAGAACCAACATCTCTAGTCTTTACCATGAGTCAGTGCTTCTGTAATGTCAAAGTTCCCCAGAGAAATAGTCAATCAACTATCTATCTATCTATCTATCTATCTATCTATCTATCTATCATCTACCTACCTATTGAAAGAAATGATTTATTTTAATGAATTAGCTCTTGAGATTATAGAGTGTAAATTCAAAAATCTGCCAGAAAGCCTGAAGGCAGATCACCCCAAAAAAGAGTTGTGGTTCGAGTCCAAAGGCTGACTGCTGGCAGAATTCCTTCCTGCTCAGGGGAAGTCAGTCTTTGTCCTATTAAGTTTGTTAAGTGATCATCTGAGGCCACTTACATTGTGCAGGATAATTTGCTTTATTCAAAATCTACTGATTTAAATGCTAACCTATCCAAAAAACACCTTTACAGAAACACAGAATAATGTTTGACCAAATATGTGGGTACTGCAGCCCAGCCAAGTTGACATATAAAATTAACCATTGTAGCTTCACATGTATTATTTTATGCAATTTTTACAACACAAGATGAAATTCGTGCTTAACATTCCTATTTTATAAAGAGAAAGCCTAGGCCCGGAGAGATTTACATGACTTCCACAGGCCACACAGTGAGCTGGTGTCCATGGAAGAGCTGGAAACAGTCTATCTGGTGCCAGAGTTGCTCCTCTTAGCACTGAGGCTCCACAGGCTGGGTGTCATAGACCATCTTGGGTAACCCCAACGGGCCTGGGGACTGCAGCCACAGGATGGCATCATTACCAAAGTGTAGAGCTGAAAGAACTGTAGAGATCATCTGGTCCAACTCACTCAACCTACAGATGGGAAAATGGGTTTAGAGAAGAAAGAGATTTAACTAAGGTAACACAGCTTTTAGTACTGACAGGCTTAACTTCATGTATGTATTTGCTGAATGACTGATGAGATTGAATGGAGAAAGTGACAGTCCTCCAGTTTTATAGCAAATAGCCATGTGTTGTACATATCAATATACACATGTAAATGTATATTTTATTATGTATAGTGTCTATTCCTGTTTATTATTTATATATAAAGCAGAAATTTCTGTGCAGTTGTCAATGTAATTTAGGTTATATTTATTCTTATGCATTTTCATACCTGATAGCAGATATTTGGAGTCTTTTTCTATAAAGAACCACCTATTTTTAAGGGAAAGAAGATAAATTGAGTACTACACGAGTAATAACCAATTTGATTTGTCTTGGACTTATAAATACTAGTAAATGTTGTACTTACCAGAATTTAAAATTGTGAATAGGGAGCATAAAATATCCAGCAGACACAATAAAACAGAAATGTCAGTTTTCTCTTATGAACAGCTATAGGAGTTGAGGGTGGGTAAACAAAGAAAGCAGGGGACACACACACACACACACACAAACACACACACAAACACACACACACAGACCCCCCCCCCCCCCTGTAAGGTAGAATAGTGCATGGACAGAGAAACCAAATAGATACTGGGGAAGACTCATGTGAGACCCAGGTACAGGAAAAGGAGAGACTTTCAGAATCAACATTCTATCTTTGGCCTTTTTATTTTTATCTTTTTTTTTTTTTAATTGATTTCAAAGAAAAGAGAGGGACTGCTGGGGTTCTCGTCCCAGTATTACAAACGGTTCAGCAATCTGTAGAAAGGCTGTGCATAGATTCAATAAGGAGGAGTTCAAAGATGAAAGATAGTTTTGAAAGGCATTAGGGGTCAGAGGAGCTTCAGCTAAATGAACTTAAAATTCCCTTGTCTCAGGACCCCCTGCTTTTTATTAACACAATTTGTCCTAAAGCAAGGTGGAGATAATACACTTCAAAGGGTAGGGTTTCAAAGGGTAGGGTTTACAGAAGTATTGTCAGATTGGGGAATGGCCTATAGCCGTTCAGGTGTTTGGACAACAGGAGGCAATAACATGTAGATTAAGATGCCCCGAGCCAGTGGTTGGCAAACTGTGGCTTGCAAGTCACATGTGGCTCTTTGGCCCCTTGAGTGTGGCTCTTCCACAAAATACTATGGCCTGGGAGAGTCTAGTTTGAAGAAGTGGTGTTAGGAGAAATTTAAGTTTAAAAAATTTGGCTCTCAAAAGAAATTTCAATCGTTGTACTGTTGATATTTAGCTCTGTTGACTAATGAGTTTGTCGACCACTGCCCTGAGCTGTCTGGCAGCAAATAATTATCCTATTCAGGTTTGTGGGAGATGTTTTTAGCCATTCCAACAGGCAACCATATATGTGACTCAGCCCTTGTTGAGCCCCCAAGCTTCATTAACCTTTTGATGAAACTCTTCTAACCATAACATGCTGGAACTGGCTTCTGGCAGGAAGAGAGAAACGTTAGTGATGAGAAAGAACCATTGATAGGCTGCCTCCTGCCCACAACCTGGACATGTGCCCTGATCAGGAATCAAACCATGACCTCCTGGTTCATAGGTCAATGCTCAACCACCAGGCTACACTGGCCAGACATTCTTTGGCCTTTTTAGAATACAGCTACCTAAAACTTTCAAGGCAGTGCTGCATTTTAGCAAACATGGGAGTCTCTTATGATACTAATTTAGAGGGTCATTTAGAATCACACAAGGAATAGAGGCTCTTTTGTTTCCAGACTCTAAGCATTTCCAGGATGAGACCAGTTTTCTACTTTTTAAAAAACACCTTTCAGTAGAGAGGATGGTGCTGTGTCCCTCGTCTGTGTTTGTTAGCTGACTCTGTCTTTTCCTCTGGGTAGATTAACTGCAATGGTTTCACTCTCAGTGATCAGAGGGGCCTGCAGGCAGTAGGCGTGGGCATCTTTCCCAACCTGGGCTTGGTGAACCATGACTGTTGGCCCAACTGCACCGTCATCTTTAACAATGGCAAGTGAGTATATGTCTTTCACTGAGGATGCTGTGATTGGGGGTGGGGTGGGTGGGGTGGGGTGGGGTGGGGGAGACCTCATGGTGTTCTTGCCACTTGACTTAAGGCAAAGTTTCATGAACTAGTATAGTTTTCAAATGGGAAAAAAATAGAAATTTTATTGTAGAATATTTGTGGTTAGGAGAAAGGTAATGGGGAGGCTAGTAGAACTCCACATGGGTAATTTCCGAGTCTTTGTATGTTTCTTGAGGTTGCCTAGATATGTCATATAAATCTCTAATTACTATTTTAAAACTTGATGCCTTGATCCCTAGAGGTCATTACAAAACATCAACTGAGAAGCATATATCAGTCAAGGTCCCAGCAGAAATCCAAAGGCATACTCAGAGTTTACCTGAATGGAATTTAATCAAAGGACTATTCAAGAAATGCGAGTAGCATTTAAGCAACTAATAAAGAACAGAGAAGGGTTCAGGGTCTCGCTACAGCTTGAAATCATTATTACATCTAGAGTGGAAGGGCAAATGGAAGAACTACTGGTTTTGTGCTTGCTGAGAGCCAGTGTGGCTTGTGCCACTGCTAGAACCACAGTAAGGCAGAGAGGGAGCCAGGAGACTAAATAGCCCGACCAATGTCCTCCCATTGCCCAAACTCCATCTAGAAGCCAGAGGGCAAAGGAAACTGGTGATGAAGTCCCCAGAGGTCAGTTAGTGCCCTACTCCAAATAAGGCACAGAGGGGACAGAGGGAATTTGGGAGTGGGACACAAATGGAAAAGAATCAGCAAAGAGGGTGAGTCTCAGTTGTTCCTGGCTCAGGTGGGGGGAGGGAGGATTTGGGGAATGAGGCCTGAGCAATTTTGCTTTTGCTCTTAGAGACAAGCTCTTATGACAGATACAAGTTGACTGAGTCATCGACAATGGGCAAGTTTCCCCCCAAAACTTCCTCGAAAACAAAGACAATTAAAGCTTAAGCTTGAATCTTGGCTAAGAACCTTCCTGTTCCTTCCTATTTCTGGAATCAAGGGCCTACATGACACAATAAGAAATTGAGAAAATCACTCAGGACAGGAAAGTTTATTTTTGATCCAAATGAAAATCTTTTCACAGCATTTGTGTTTCCCTTCCTACATCTATTGGGGTCACTTCATGGAATGCTCCCCAGATAAGCTGTTGTCCAGGGTTAGCCTGGTTGATAGAGGGTCAAATTCACAACCATACGGGGCTGGTCTTTCTTGAACCCCTTTCACTAAGCAATGGCGACCAGGTTCTTCTTTCCCTACATGTAACTGCCCCAGGAACCCAAAACCCTTTTTCCAGATCAGCTCCAGTGTCTGCACGGGCTTCTTGGTTGTTGTAAAAGAGAAGGTGACTTTTCAGTCACTGTCTAGCTGCCTGCCATAGTGGAAAGAACACTAGTCATGATGTTAGGAGCCCAATTCACACCCCAATTATTTTATCTTCTACCTGTGTGACTACCCAGCCTCCATACACGGTTCCAACTCCCCATGAGATAGACACCAAAAGAGGCAACACTTATCTGTCCAAGGTTCTTCTTAGTGGGATAATACACTTTTCATACTTTTTTTTTTTAAGTACTCTACTTTTAAATGCATTGTCTCATGAGTCTTATTGCCTGATTATAGATGAGAACACTGAGGCCTGGAAGGGAAGTCACTTGTTCAGAGCTGTGTGCTTTTGAACTCAGAACCTCTCATTCCAAATCCAGTGACATTTCCATTATATCAGGCACACCTTGCCAAGTGAGCCCAGCCACAGGGGTTGGACAACAGGGATTGGGCTAGAGGTTGTTGTTATGGCCAAAGCTTTGATTGCACCTGAAATACTGTGCACCTTTGCTAGCCGTGCGGGATCTGTCAATGGTAATGATGTCCATTTGGGTGTCTGTTTTGTCTTTCAGTCATGAGGCAGTGAAATCCATGTTTCACACCCAGATGAGGTGGGTCAGTTCTTTCAAACTTTCCTGCTCCTCTGACCCACCTCCCTCACTTGCCTGGTTCCCAAGATGCCCCTTTCCAAGATTCTGTGGCTGCTGTCTGTCTGTCCTTCTGTACCCCAAAGTCTCATCTTTTTTGAATGCTTTATTCTTTGTTCTTTAAATTTTTTTTGTTTTGTTAATCCTCACCCGAGGATATTTTTTCTATTGCTTTTTCAGAGAAGAGAAAGAGAAAAACATCGATGTGAGAGAGACACATAGATTGGTTGCCTCCTGCATGCCCCCTGACTGGGGCTGGGAATCAAATCTGAGACCCTTTGGTCCTTGAACCTACACTCTAACCACTGAGCCATGCTGGCCAGGGCTATTCTTAATGCATTTAATCATTTTGTTCTTTAGTCACCAACTACCTGACATGCCTTTGTTTTCTTTTTCTTTTAAAAATATTTTTATTGATTTGAGAGAGAGAGGAAGGAAGAGAGAAAGAGAAACATCAATGTGACTGAATGCCTCCTGCACTACCCCTACTGGGGACTGAGTCTGCAATCTATTGCACCTGACCTGACAGGGAATTGAACTGTCGACATTTTTGTGTTTGGGACAACACTCAACCAAATGAGCCACACCGGCCAGGGCTACTTTGTTTTCTTCCTTTCTCCTCTTTCATGCCTTACTTCTTTTGTTCCTCCAACCTCAAAGTGTGACTGTCTCTTCTGGCCCACATCATCTTGGCAAAAACCCAGGTTTCCCCTTCTAAACCCTGCTTACCATGAAGTGAGGACTGCTGGTACTACTGACCTACTAAAGGACTATGTGTTTGTTTTTAACACTCAACCTCTCACCCAGACTGGGTTCTGAAAATCACACCCATAACTGTGATATTTTGATAAATTATTCATAGTATTCTGTTTACTGCTCTAGCCAACTATGTATTCGTGGTTTAGGTTAGATTTTTACTTTTGACTTTTTAAAATTACAACCAAAAGGTCCCAGATGGGTCTTTTTTCAAATGGGACTTAAAAGTACTTGAAATACTCTTTGGATTTAGAACAAAATGCTGCATGTGAGTTTGGGCTTTGGGAATGCAGGGGCAGAGTGGTTTGTGCATCTGAGACTGTGTTGGCATGCATTGCATGAGACTTTGAACGATTCACATCATCTCCTGGGCATTTTGTTCCATATCCGTAGAGCAAAGGTCAAGAGGAGAGCATCTCTAGGGACCTTTACAATCTCTAAAAATATACTTAAATTACTTGCCTATTTGTGGCTCAATTGATTGAACTATAAAATTGCAGAGCATTACAGATGGGAGGGGTCTGGGGTCCAGAATGGAGCGGTAGTCACTATTCATTCCCTGATCCCCAATTCCAAGTTAGTAAGTGGAGTATGCATTTTTCACATTTAAGTGACATTAAATTAATTTGGTTTTGAAAATTCGCTAATAGCATTGAAATAATTTGAGACACTCTGAAACCTTGTATGAACTGGCTTAACCATGATGGAAAGTAAAGCTATTGGAAATCCTAACTTATTGGCCATTGAGCCACTGTTGAATGGGGATATGTTACTATGGTGAACTGCCTCTGTAAAAGGGATGTGTGGGGTTAGCAGTTCACTTACCCTACCAGGACCAAATACCAAAGACCCACACTCAACCTTGGCTCTAGAGTTGCTCACATGGACCTACTTAGGACATTACCAGAATTCTAAAATTGAGGGCTTTCGTGCGCCTCACTTCCCATGCATTGCAGACTCAGGAGGCAGACTGGAAACCATCAGGCCAATACGATGTAGTGAGGTGTGAATGGCACTTGAGTTCTAATCCTGACACGGTGACCATAGTGTGTGGGACCTTTGAGGATGATACTCCACCTCTCTGGGTACCAGTGCCCTCATTTGTGAATTGAGAGGATTGAATGCCTGCAGTTTGGTCATATTAGAATTCCAAGCAGACCTAGGAGTAGAATCACTGGGCCCTCCCTTCCCTCTTGCTTTTCATCCCTTCAGTACCAGCTGCTGTCAAAAATTGGGGTGGGAAGAAAGGATAGAAGGAACAGGAGGTGAAGGGGAACTTACATTTTGGCAGGTGCCATTTATTTGAGTTGTTTTTATATACAGTATCACATTCATTTGGCATGTCAGTGGACTCCACTTTGAGAGAAGGCATGTCACCTCTGACACTTGGACATGCATGTCACTGCCGTTCAGTAGCTGCCTGCTTGATTGTCACTTTAGGGCACGTGGAAGGGGATGACTTTGACTGAGATCCTTCTATGGTGCTGAAATTGTGTCCTAGCCTTTCACACGGTGTTGGACAGCCGCTCTGGGAGGCAAAAGAAATGATCATGGATCCCTCCGCAGATGCTCTGCCCAGCCTCCGCATCCTGCCACTCACTCTCTGGGGGATGGTTTCTACTGGGTAGTGAGGCCCCAGGATCCTGGGGAGACACAGAAGCACAGCTCAGGGTTCACCACTTGTTTTCTGTAGCTTCTGGCTTTGTGCATGGCTGAGAGGCCCACAGGCTGATCTCTGCTTGGTTGGCCAACCTGGGTGTCAGTTTCACCATAGGCTTTTGTTTTCAGCACATTCTGCATCCATTACGTGGCCAAGTGGGTTGTGCTGTAGGTCATTGGGGTGTCATGTCTAGGCTGAAAGGGAATTGAAATGCCATCTGCTCTTGCTAACCACCTTCGACCACAAAGCCCTGTCCTCCAATAAACACAAAAGTCAACAAAGCATCAGGCTAACAGAGCCAGCCTTTGCTGAATAAGTCTCCTCAACCACTGGTTGAGGTAAAATGGACTTACAGAATAGGCCAAGATTGGCGGTGAATGAATGTGTGTGTTTCTGAGTGAGCAGTCTTCAAATTAAGCAGGAATGACTCTTGAGTCTTCACTTGTTTGAGTTTTCACCTTATTATTATTTCTCCCTTTCTTTGCCAACAACCAATAGCTGAATGTACAGGGATGATTGTGGGCATGGAAGCAATATGTGGTTTTCAGACCAAGACGGGTCCTCTCCTGGGAATCTATTTGAACAGATTTCAAGGCGTTTTACGGAACGAAGCACATGTGATTGTTATAATGAGTAGAGCAGAATTACTCACAAAACTGTGCGGTATGCCACATTTCCTCTAATTTTGGAGGGAACAGGAGTTTCCTCACGCGCTAGTGGAAGTCACTGTTTTTGAGACTCAACTCCTCGAACCCGGAAGAGCACAGATGCCACTTGATTTACTCTTTTCCTTTTGCCCTGCTCCAGAATTGAGCTCCGGGCCCTGGGCAAGATCTCAGAAGGCGAAGAGCTGACCGTGTCCTATATCGACTTCCTTAATGTCAGCGAAGAACGCAAGAAGCAGCTGAAGAGGCAGTACTACTTCGACTGCACGTGTGAGCACTGCCAGAAAGGGCTGAAGGACGACCTCTTCCTGGGGGTGAAAGAGGACCCAAAGGTACACACAGCCCTCCTGGGGGGTGTTTGTGGCACCTCCACAGGAGCCAGGCCTGGGGATCCCCCAGCTAATCAATGCACCCTGCTCAGTAGTTCCCAGAGGACCAGACTGTAATCCCGGGGAAGGCTGTAGGGGTGGGGGATAGCGCACTGCCCATAGGTCCCCGCTAGTGTCCGGGCACTGCTAAGTGCTAGGTGTTTGTGTTTGGGGATATTACGCAGTTTTCTCATCTATAAAATAGAAATGATGGCAACCTTGATAAGGGGTTGTTCTGAGCATTAAACACAATTACATATGTAAAGGGTGTGGCATGGAGAGTAGACACTCAGTAAATTTTAGTCTTCTCCTTGCCCCTTTGCCATTTAGATATGCTGGAAATTGCACATATTGAGACCAGATGGGCAGAGATTCATTGTCTGGTTATCACAAAGATTTTCTGAGTCCCATGGAAATGGGTAATGTGGAGATGCTGCACTGTTTAGATTGGCTCTTTTGCTTAAGTCCTGAGGAGCTGTTGCCTAGAGGATAGTGGGACCACTGAACAGTGGGAAGGCTTGCTAAGGGGCATGTCAGGAGCTCAGTGAAGCTGGGAGAAAGTGGAGCTGCAGGTGTTGGTGCGGCCGATTAAAGCAATATGCCCTCCATCAGTGCCTGCGATGGGAAAGCTGGAGGCTGTGCTGGGGCAGGCGCCACTCCCCCTAGTGCATTAGTCCCCGTGGGAAGGTAGACTGGTGAAGGGTCAGGTGGATCAGCACAGATGTAGGGGTCTTCTCACTGCTGAGGGACCCAGAACAAAAGGCTTGTGGACCCTGAGATGTGGGGCGTGGGGAAAGGGCTAGGAGTGGAAAAGCACTGGGCACTGAGTCAGAGTGGGGAAAAGTGTCTGCAAGTCTCCCCATCCCTCCCCAGTAAGGAGGCCTCAGCGATAGAAGTGCCTAAAGAAGGCCTCTGCCCGAGGCCTCAGGAAAAGAGACCTAGGAATAAAGGTCTCTGCCGGGCTAGGAATGCAAATATTCTAAGAGCAGGAGCAGCCAGCAGGGCCTGAGTGCTTCACTGCAACACCCTTCAGAGACTGTGCACCAAGTCAGGTGTGGAGGGCTGCTTATCCTGTGAAGCCAACCAGAAGTACATATACATGGCGGAATGTTACTCAGCCATGAAAAAGAATGAAATCTTATCATTTGAGTCAGCATGGCTGGACCTAGAGGATATTATGTCAAGTGAAATAAGTCAGAGAAAGACAAATACCATATGGTGTCACTTATATGTGAAATCTAATGAACAAGGTAAATAAACAAACAACATTGAAACAGACCCATAAATACAGAGAAGAGACTAATTGTTGCCAGAGGGAGAGGGTTTGGAGAGTGGGTGAGAAAAGCGAAAGAATTAAGAACTACAAATTGGTAGTTACAAAATAGTCACAGGGATGTAAAGTACAGCATAGGAAATATAGTCAATACTATTATAATAGCTATGTATAGTGCCAGGGGGGTACTGGAAATATTGGTGGGAATACTTTGTAATATATTTTCCTCAAAATGCTGTGTCGATCTTTGGCTAGGTTCTGGGGATTTTTACTTTTTTTTCATATGTTTTAATTTTTTACAGCTTCCACATGCCTAAAAAAAAGCTTTATCAGATTTGCCTAAGGAAAAAAAATCAGAGAAGAGCTTCTAATATGGATAAGCATAGCAAGTAAACGTTTCCTTTGGACATTAAACAAATTTGGCACTTTTTCTTTGAAATTATGGCACCCTCATGGACTTCTTGATCATGGAACCTCCTTGCCTCAAATATTAAAACTTCATTAAAATAATTTTTTTTTTTTTTACAATATCACTAGACTGCTCAGGCAATGCAGCAAGCAGTGACAGATTTCACAGAGACAGCTGACAAAGTCTCTCATAATATGTTTTTGGTGAAAACAAGGAAACATGAACTGGGTGCTAAGACACTGGAAGGGTTTGGATACCCATAGCCACAAAGGCTATTTTTCATGAGCTCCGATGGCAAACTGGAGTACAAAGTTTTAGTTAAGTCCTCAGCCTTTGCCTTCAGTCCTGGGCTGGCTAATATTTAAATAAATGACTTAGGCAAAGACAAAAAAGCAGGGGGATATTTTTAGTATATATGATGGACTTGAAGTATGAAGAAAAACTGGGGAATACTTTGGATGATAGAATAAGAATCTAAAAGGCCAGAGAAAATACAACAGGCGTCAATGTCAGATTCTGCACTGGGTCCAAAGCCCAGGCATGAGCACAGGGCAGGAGTGATTGGCTGCGGCAAGGCTCTGGGACTTGGTCAATGGAAAGGACAGCAGGAGTCAGAAGCATGATGAGGGAGCTGGAAAAACTACAGGGATCTTGTGCAGCATTTATAGAAGTGAAGCGTTTGGAATGAGGAAGGTGCCTGGCCAGAGTGGCTCATAATTGAGTGTCCACCCATGGACCAGGAGGTCACGGTTTGATTTCCCAGTCAGGGCACATGCTGAGGTTGCAGGCTTGATCCCCTGTAGGAAGTGTATAGGAGGCAGCTAATTGATGATTCTCTGTCATAATTGATGTTTCTCTCTCTCCCTCCCTTCCTCTCTCTGAAATCAATAAAAACATTATATATATAAAAAAAAAGAATGTGGAAGGCATTAATTTTGTACTACACTGAACGTAAAAGATGCGACTAGGCGAAGATGTAACTCAGTGTCCCTCCTTCTCTCAGCCCTCTCAGGATGTTGTCAAGGAGATGATACAGGTCTCCAAGGATACACTAGAAAAGATAGACAAGGCTCGCTCTGAGGGCTTTTACCATGAGGTAAGGATTCATGTTTATGGTGGATAAGGGTGGGGAGGAGGGCAGAAGGTTCTCTAGGAAGGGAGGGAGATGGGGTGGGTTAAAAATGGAGAGGCTACCAAGCAGGTTGTCCTTTTGTTGAGACCAGGATTCCTCTTGCTCTCAAGCTCTTAGCACTCCTTAGGGATGTGTTCTCAGTGACTGTTCAACCCACTGAAACTGGGTCTGGGAAGAATTCAGGCAGCCTGACAAATGTCCCTGGGGGGCTGTGGTTTACAAGTTGGCACTAGAAATGGAGAAATGAAGATGGCAGTAGGTTGCTTGTTTCCCATAATTAAATGCATGTCCTAGCTTCAGTTTCCAGTCTCCAGTAACTGAGCCTTCAGCCCTGGCTCTCAGAGCACCAGGAGTTCTCAGCTGGCTGTATACTATAACCACTGAAAAATCCTACTGCTCAGATCCTGCCCCCTGACATTTTAGCAGAATCTCTTGGGGTGGGACCCAGACATCACCATTTTTAGACCTCGAAAGTGGTTTCAAAGTGCATCCGAAGTTGAGACCCACTGCCAAATACTGACCTGCAGAGCACTTGCATTGAACTTACACAGACAGCTTTTTAGAAACATAGATTCCTGTGCTCACCCCCTAAGATATAATTTATCTACAACAGACCACAGGGACCATAAATCCATATTTTTCCAAGCTCTTTAAGCAACTCAGGTATGTATCTGGTCTTCGTTTTCATTCTTGACTCGCTCATTCATTGCACATTTTTGAGGCCTTTCTGGGGTGATCCGCAAAAGACATGCTCCTTGACTCCCAGGAGTTCTGTTAGGCAGGGGAGACGGTCACATGAACAAAGTGTTACTGAACAATATGGAAAGTGTATGTCAGAGGCACGATAATGGAGCCAGAGCAATCAGGAGGGATCTGCTCGCTCCATTTCTCCGGCTTCTCTTCTCTTCTTCATTTCTCCTTTTCTCCATTCAAAATTGCCAGGGCACGTGCAGGGCTGGATGGCTGCCCCCGGGTTTAAGGGAGTTGCCTTCAGGATGATTGATTGCCAGCCCATATGTTGCCCCACCCCACCCAGTTGCCTCAGGGGTCTCTGGGAGAGTCTCAGAGCAAAATTAGTTTCCACTCACTTAAAATAGAAAAAAGTGTGTGGCATTTCTCCATGAAAGTGGCAAGGGAAAGAGAAGAGAACAGTGAGCAATCCAAGTCTAAGGACCATCTGACTTTGTAGAGTGCGGCCCAAGCTATGTCTATATGTGAATCAGTTGGAAACGCCTGACTCCAAGCTGATTGGGGTCAGCTCCATATTATTTCTCACCAGTGCCAATGGGGTGATCTCCTGATGGGTCTTCTAGCTTCCCGGGAGCCTCCCTGTCTGCCTATCCATCCTGTGCACTTCAAGCAAGACAACCTGATTGTTTGCTCCACTCTGCATAAAGACCACCAGGGGCTTATACAGACTATGCAGGCCAGGGTCCCTCCCCCACGTATTTGGTTTCAATTGGTCTGAGGGTAAGGCCTAGACATTGATGTTTTAAAAAGGTCTCTAGGTTAATTTAGAGCACAGCCAGAGTAGAGAATCATAGGAGCAGAGACTCTGGTAAAATGTGAATATTCATAGCAATTATCTCATTGCACTGTTGTAATATATATATAAATATATATGTAATATATATGTAATATATATATATTTATGTAATATAAATATATATATATTTCCTAACTCCCTGCTACCAACTGACTTATATATGGAAACTTCTCGTGTTGCCCTTTCCATCTCTATATCTCACCCAAATTAGACCATTTTTCTATTCAAATCATGAGTTGTGAGCAATCTCCTCAACTTTCAAAGAAGGAGTGTCCAATGTCATTGTGCTGCTCCCGCATGTGAATTAAGCATGTGTCATGGCGCGTTGGTAATGGACAGGGCCTGTGTGTCTTCTAGGTTGTGAAGTTGTGCCGGGAGTGCCTGGAGAAGCAGGACACCGTGTTTTCTGACACCAATATCTACATGCTGAGGATGCTGAGCATTGTTTCTGAGGTCCTCTCCTACCTCCAGGCGTTTGAGGAGGCCTCCTACTATGCCAGGAGGATGGTGGATGGCTATGTGTAGGTGACAATCCTGGGTGTCAGATAATCTGGAAATGTGTCTACTCCAGGCAGGACAAATAGAGGGCATGTATGCTGCTACCTTTCCCTCCTGTACCACAACAAGCAGCAGTAATCAGGAATCTACAGTGGAATGCTCTTTTATCACAGTGCTCCTATTAATAATGACCAAATACTCAGAGTTGGTACCTAAAATGAAACCTATTTGTCATCCCTGGTCTTTCTTGAATCCTGCAGCACATCTATTATTTCCTGGTGGTTTCTGATTTCCTGATGGCCAAGTCCAGCTTGATTTTAAGTGTTTAAAAAGGGTCTCCCCTTAACAACCAACACAGAAAATCCTGTGAGCTTTCATTTATTAAAATTGTAAAGTATAAAATAGAATGTCCCTGCTTTCCTCTGGTGATGTCCTCTCTGTTCACATTGGCATATGAATTTGTATATCTGGCTAAATGATTACATTGGCACAAGAAGGTTCATTTTTGGAGGGAGGATGTTACTCATAAATAAAATGTGGGAAAACTATATAACATGTTAAAAGGAAGCTCTGTTAAGAAGGTGCCAAGGAGGGAAAAAATGCAGTTCTGTCCCAAGAAGGACATTCGAGTTATTTCCCCACCTTTGGCCTTTCTACTGCTTTCTCAGGAGAGGGCTCCGAGGTTCCCGTAGTAACATTCTGAGCACAATCCTGATTCCTTTCCCCATGAGGATGTGGCTCAGAGACTCAGGTGAGAGTCTCAGCTCTTACAGCTTCCCTGGGTGGGGTTCTTGCAACCTCCCACCTATCTGTGCCTCAGTCCCCTCCCAGTGCCTGCAGATGCTTCATGGCACTGGTGGGAAAGAAGAAGGACTTCAATGAGAGCACGTTATAATTTGTCAAATACTCTGCTGATATAAGGGAGGCTGGGATTATGTGTTATGATTATTTTATTGCCTCTACAGGAAGCTCTATCACCCCAACAATGCCCAACTGGGCATGGCCGTGATGCGGGCAGGGCTGACCAACTGGCATGCTGGTAACATTGAGGTGGGGCATGGTATGATCTGCAAAGCCTATGCCATTCTCCTGGTGACACATGGACCTACCCACCCAATTACCAAGGACTTAGAGGCAAGTAGCACCTTGACGCTGGGCCCGCCTGCCTGCTCTGAGCTCTCTGAGGATGAGAGCTGACTTCTTAACTGCTCTGGGAAAGTCCCTAGATTGCTTGCTGGACCTGAAGGGAGCTCACAAGGCTTTAGCCCACTCCCCTTGTTTACATTCGAGGAAACTGAGGCCCAGGGAAGGGGAGTAAGCTGTTCATAGTCAAATAGCTGGTGGACCACAGCTGAGACTTGAACCCTGAGATGCTCCAGGCTTGACTGAGAAAACCTAAATAATGGTGTGTGTGTGTGTGTGTGTGTGTGTGTGTGTGTGTATGTACGTGTATGTGACAAAATGTGCATTACAGAATGAATGGACTAGGGAGCACAGACTCTAGAAGTAGCTGCTGGGATTGAGTTCCAGCTTCGCCATTGTCTAGCCATGTGATTGCAAATATTAAATGTGTGGGCCTCAGTCTCCTCGTTGGTAAACTGGAGTAAGAGGAGAGAGCTGTAAGGAGGGTGCAATGACTTGATGTGTGAACAACACTGAGAACTGTGCCTGGCACAGGGCATGCGCTCAGTCTCTACTGCTTTCTCGGGAGAGGGCTCTGAGGTTCCTGTAGTAACATTCAGAGCACAATCTGGGGATTGCGGAGACAGGGATCGAGGAGACTGAGGCCCACACATTTAATATTTGCAGTCACATGGCTAGACAATGGCCAAGCTGGAACTCAATCCCAGCAGCTACTTTTAGAGTCTGTGCTCCCTAGTCCATTCATTCTGTAATGCACATTTTGAAGGGTGGTTTATTCAAGAGTGACCAAGTTCAGGGAGCTGTCCTCAGGCAGTGCAGTGCAGGGAAAGATGAAAGACTTGGTGTCATAAAGTGTATGAGGAGACAGACTTCATGCCTAATGATTTAAGCTAGTCAAAGGCAGAGTTTTTGCCAGTCTTACTAACTGCTGCATCCTTGGCCCCTCAGCGAAGCCTGGTGCTTGCTAAGTATGCTTTTTTTTTTTTTTTTTTTTAAAATATGTTTTTATTTATTTAAAAAAGAGGAAGGAAGAGGGGCAGGGAGAGAGACAGAGAACCATCAATGATGAGAGAGAAATCATTGATGGACTGCCTTCTGTACACCCCTTAACCAGGGATCGAGCCCACAACCTGGGTGTGTGCCCTGACTGGGAATCAAACCATGACCTCCTGGTTCATGGTGGATGCTCAACCACTGAGCCACACTGGCTGGGAAATACGTATTTCTTAAAGAACACACGGGCAAGTGAGAACTTCCTGTGTGTGTCACATACTGTAATTTCCCTGGTCTTTTGGGAATTTACCCTCTTCATGTATGAGGAAACAGAGGGCTGAAGGGATTCTCCTTGCATAAGGTGGGACCCAAGTGCAGGAACCAGGGTTCAAATCTAGATCCCCACTGGATGGCTCTTGAGAACAACCCCTCAGCTACTCTCTCAGGGGTCTGACTCCCTTATAAGTGACCCGCAGCCAGGACCCTAGGCCCCCTGCGGATGTATCTGCTAAGGGGGCACAGTTGAATCTTGGTTCCTGGGAGTCATTTACCCCATTGCCTGCCTTTTCCAAAAGGGCCAGGGAGGGCAGAGCCACCCTGTCCTGGGGCTTGTCATCACTGTTCCTGGCGTGTCTGCGTCCCACAGGGCATGCGGATGCAGACGGAGATGGAGCTGCGCCTGTTCCACCAGAACGAGTTCATGTACCGCAAGATGCGCGAGGCTGCCCTGAACAACCAGCCCATGCAGGTCATGGCTGAGCCCAGCAGTGAGCCGACGCCATCTCTGTTCCATAAGAAGCAATGAGGACCTTCCTGGTGTGTGTGTATGTGTGTGTGCGGGAGGTACTGTGGCTCGGGAACTGAGGAGACATTCTGGAGAGTTCATCTGGTCACTCGCTCTTTATTTTCATCTCAGTCTGTGCGCACTTGCTGCAGGAACTCGCCAGGCCCTTGGTGTGTTCTCTATCTTGAGTATGATGGTCTTAAATCCATATTTCCCAACCTTGCTCTTGAGCTCCAGCTCCACACACCCTCTTGAATGTTCTGCAGGCACGTTAAACTCAGCACACCCAGAATAAAAATTTTTTCTCTTTCTATTTCCTATCTCCCCTCCCCAACATCTATCCCTCCTCAGCACACCACCTGAGAACACTTGACTTCTGCTTCTGTTGCATCCTAGACTTCAGTTGAACCCATTCACTCCCCGGTCCCTGAGTGACCCATGTTCTCCATGCCTCTCTGAGTTTTCTACCTAAAATAGCTAAAACCTGCTGACTCCTATTCATCTTTCAGCATCCGGTTTGGAAGTCATCCCATCTGTGAAGTCTTCCTTGAATGCCTTCAATTCAGCTGGCTGCCTGAGTCTCTGGTATTACCCTCGAATCTTCCATCATAACTCTTGCCTCATGGCAGTATAATTCTCTGCCTCCTCTGTCAGATTGTGAGCTCCTGGAGGACAGGAGCTGTGTCCCTTTATTCATCTATCTATCCCCAGAACCTAGCACAGGTCCTGAAACATTGTAGGTGCTCAGTTAATGTGTGTTGAATGAATGAATAAGTGAATGAATTTACTTCTCAGAGCAGAAGATATAGGAACTGTGCATTTTGAGTTTTTATGTTACAGCCATCAACAAAGGCCATTAAATCCACTGTTTCCAAACAGATATGTGTGGCTTCTTCCTTTCTGACGATCTATTTAGGGCAGCACTATCTATAGAACTTCCTGTGATGATGGAAATGTATTATATCTGTGTTGCCCCTAGTGGCAGGAGACTATCCAGCATTTGAAATGTGTCTGGTATGAATGAGGAATTGAATTTTTAATTTTATTTAATTTCAATTAAAATAGCCAATGTGGCTGGTGGCTACTGTTTTAGAGAATAATTTAATGTAGTTTTTAAGAGTAAGTTGAGAAAATCTAGAACAAGCATGTTAAATATTTAATTTTAAAAAAATATTTTTTATTGATTTCAGAGAGCAAGGGAGATAGATACATCAATGATGAGAGAGAATCATTGATTGCTTCCTGCATGCTCCCTGCTGGGGATCAAGTCTGCAACTCAGGCATATAAACTGACTGGAAATTGAACCACGACCTCCTGGTTCATAGGTTGAAGCTCAAATACTGAGCTACACTGCCTGGGTGAGAATTAAATGTTTTAACTGTGAAGTTCTTAGAACAGTGTCTGGCCCATCACAAGCTCTCCATGAGCATTTCAACCTTGCTACTGTTGGTGTGTTCCTTCTCCTGATCAGAGAGTGAAGGTAAAGGGTAGATATAAACAGTGTATGCTAGAACCAGCTCTTACCACCTTGTGAGAGCTGATAGTACACAGCTCTTCCCAATGCCACAGTCATCAATATCACAATGATACCTTGACATTGGCCATGGTGGGAATATTTACACCATGGTAATTGGCTTAACATTGGAAGAACACATTAATCGGTAGTGTTTCAGTCTGTAAAAATGGGGTTTTCTATCTGGAAGTAGCAGAATGGATAGTTAGAGACCATTAAAGAGGTCTTTCCTTAAATCAGAGTGAAATCTGCATTCTGAAACCTCAACTCCCGGGTCATAACAAACCAGTGTAAAAACTCTGATTCATACCCTTCAGACTAAGCCACCAATGCACTGACAGACACAACTACTAAAGCCCAGGTACAGCTACTTTTGGGGGAATTGTTCAGGGTTTACTTCTCTATAGGATGCAGGAGGGAATCCATGTAGCTGGAACACAGAAAAGAGCGAAGCATCATGTCTGAGGGCAGTCAGAGGTGCACACTTTGGGACCGCGATGTGCACACTTGTGACTGATGAACTCCCAGTGCATCAAGGTGAACAGCACTTCTTGAAGGCTCCCTGGTTCCCTCCTGGTTCCCTCCTGGTGCAGCATTTCATACAAATCACCGGATCTCAGGTTGTCCAGGAGCGCTCACCAAGCCCAGAAAAGCACCGGATGCAGCATGACCAACACCTGGGCTCACTGACTCTGGCATGAACTTAGCCCTCCCTGTCAGTCTTGACCGCTTCACCTCACAGGGTGTGGTCTCAGAACGTTCTGGTCCGGGCACAGTGTCTTAAAGGTCTCCAGGAGTTGTATTTGTTGCCTTTTGTTATAACAAGTTACCATGAGCTTAGTGACTTACAACAATGCAGGTTTATTAGTTTACTGTTCTAGATCAGAAGTCCAAATGGGTCTGAAATCTAGGTGTCAGCAGAGCTGTGTTTCTCGTGAAGGCTGTAGGGAAGGAATTTATATATTTTTTCTTTTTTTGTTTTGTTTGTTGATTCTCACCCGAGGATATTTTTTCCATTGCCTTTCGGAGAGAGTGAGAGAGAGTGGAAAGGAGGGAGGAGGGGGGAAAGAGAGAGAGAGAGAGAGAGAGAGAGAGAGAGAGAGAGAGAGAGAGAGAGAGAGAGAGAAACGTTGATATGAGAGATACATTGATTGGTTGCTTTCTACACATGTCCCAACTGGGGATGGCATGCAAACCTCAACCCTGGTACTTGCTCTTGACTAGGAATTGAACCCGAAACCCTTCTGTGTACAGGACAATGCTCTAATCACTAAGCAACACAGGCCAGGGCAGGAATCTGCTTCTTACTATTTTTCAGTTTCTAAAAGCATCTAGAATGCCCCCACTCCTTGGCTTGTGGCCCCCCAGCCAGCAATTGCATCCCTCCTTCTCTGACCCTCCTGCCTTCCTCTGTCACTTATGAGAACACTTGTGGCCAAAACCGGTTTGGCTCAGTGGATAGAGTGGCGGCCTGCAGATTGAAAGGTCCCGGGTTCGATTCTGGTCAAGGACATGTACATTGGTTGTGGGCACATCCTCAGTGGGGGGTGTGCAGGAGGCAGCTGGTTGATGTTTTTCTCTCATCGATGTTTCTAGCTCTCTATCCCTCTCCCTTCCTCTCTGTATAAAAATCAATAAAATATATTTAAAAAAGAAAAAAGAACACTTGTGATTATATTGGGATCACTGGGATCATCCAGGAAATCTCCTCTTACCTAATCACATCTGCAAACAGCCTGTTGCCAAGTAAGGGAACACATTTGCAGGTCCAAGGTTTCGCACATGGACAGCTTTGGAGGCCATCATTCTGCCACCCAGGAAGCTTGCTCTCAAGCCCTCAGGCCAGTCATGCAGGCACAGCTGCAAGCTCTGAGCAGAGGACTTGGGACTAGAGTCCTGATTCCTAGGCCTCAGGAGAACGACTTTTCCTTCCTACCCATCACACTGACAGCCATGTCCAATAGGCCTTTTTCTCTTCCTCATTCAGCAAGTCAGGGTTCCTAAGTTCTCACTTAGCACATCACAGCCAGTCTTTGTGCTTCCCCGCTGCCCACCAGTCCTGAATCCTCCTGTAGACTATGAACCTTCCTGGGTACAGCAAAGAGCTGGGCAGTGCAGGGAGCTGCAATTTGAGCAGCAGCTAGAATTCTAGCTACATGTTTGTGACCTTAACTGGCATTTTCATTTGGCCTTGTATTTTATTCACCATCTGTCTTGTTAGAGTGTATGTTTCTTGAATGGAAAACTATTGCCTTCCTTGTGGTTTCAAATGTTCAGGTAACTCATACTCAACTTGTTTATACGTGAAATCACTCATCACTTCCCTCTATACATTTTCTCAACATCTCACCATCTAAGTAGCTCCCCAAGATCTGGGATATCATCTTAGATGCTTCCCTCTCCTTCACCCCCTGTAATGAGCTTCTGTAGCTTGTCTTTTGAGCTCAACTTCTCCCTACTTCTGATAACATTACCAACCCTTCCTCTAGAGCAGTGGTTCTCAACCTTTCTAATGCCTCGACCCTTTAATACAATTCCTCATGTGGTGGTGACCCCCAACCATAAAATTATTTTTGTTGCTGCTTCATAACTGTAATTTTGCTACTGTTATGAATCATAATGTAAATATCTGCATCTGTAAGAAGTACTAGAAAATCATCGGTGGTCACTCTATGCCTCGAGTATGTATAGAAAAGTGCTTGGAAGATTAAGTATGGACTGAGAGCCACCCTCCCACAAAAAAGGAAAAATAACTTTCTTTACTCTAATGGCAATCAGTTACAAAGAAGAAGAAAAGCCAGGCTGACATGGCTCAGTGGTTGAACATCATCCTATAAACGAGGAGGTCATGGTTCAATTCTAGGTCAGGACACATGCCAGGGTTGTCCCTAGTGTGGGATGTGCAGGAGGCAGCGGATCAATGATTCTATCTCATCATTGATATTTCTATATCTCTCTCCCTTGTCCTTTCTCTCTGAAATAAGAAAAAATACATAAAAAAAGAAACCCCACAGAATTGTCTACTTTTATGTGGCTATATACACCTAAACTAGCTCTTCTCAAATCAATTGGCTTTGAGAAGGAGCGCCCTCTGTTGGTGCGATGTATAGAGAACAGCCAGAGAGAGAAAGCAGAAGGAGGGAAAAGGGGATCAAAGTAACAATAGCTGATATAAGCAACAGCTGTTAATTCAATTTTCTTAAAGCAGGCTTCGGGCACCTGTACAAAATCTAAGTCCAGCATTTAAATGTATTCTCCTTTTCAGGCGAAAACATATAAACAATCCCCTTCTAAACCCGGTGTTGTTCCCAATTAGGAGGAGTCTGGGGATTTGTTCAGCTGCCTAGAGGCCTGGCTGAGGTATCTTGTTTCTACCACTTCACTCCTCCTGTGTCTTCAGAGTCCCAGGACCTCAGCTTCACCGTTTACCAGCTGGGTCGTCCCAGGCAAACTGCTTCTCCTCTCTGTGCCCCTTCATCTATCTACTCACCGATGTTCCTCTGGGTATAACAGAGCTTCTGCTCATGGTCTGAATGTCAAACTCACTGCGGTTTCCTGAGGAATCCAAGTGGAAATAATAACATGTTTCACTTGGATGGTGTTTGCATTGTTTCATAGGCTCCTTATAGAAGACACGAGAGAAATATTGTATTGACCATTTTACAGATGAGAAAACTGAGATAGGAAATCAGATTAGTTGAACTATATCTTAAAGCCCAATATTTTTACTTTACATCATCTGCTTTTTTTTATTATAAAAAAATCATTGTTCATTAAAAAAAAACACCAGTTCCACAAAATTACTTTCTTGCAAAAGATTCAAACAATACAAATAATGCAGAAAGCTCTCTTGACCTCCCACGCAATTCCTGTTCCCACTGTAGAATAATGTCCATTACTAGTATATAATCATCCATTATTTCTCTCTCTCTCTCTCTCTCTCTCTCTCTCTCTCTCTCTCTCTCTCTCTCTCTCTGACACACACACAAATAATTTTGTTTCACATTTTAATAAAATTTACATGAATGATATTATACTGTTGATATTGTTGTAAACCTTGCTTTTTTAAATAAAAAAGATTGAGCTTTGTCTTAGAGGTACCATGTTTCCCTGAAAATAAAACATCCTCCGAAAATAAGACCTACTTACAAGTTTCCTTCTGATTGAAATATAAGAAGGTCCCCCAGGCTCTGTCTCAGAATGAAAATAAGGTCCCCCAGGCTCTGTCTCAGAATGAAAATTAATTTACCGTAAACTGGTAGCTAGGGCCACCCTGACTGATGTCTAGTAACCAGTGACATTATGCGGAGTCCTGATGTCATTGCTGTATGGAGGCAGAGCAGAGGTCGGAGTGAGCGGTGAGCGCGGGGCGGGAGAGAGGAGGAGACAGATGTGTGTAGAACAGGAGGATTAGAGCGGACAGGATGCGGCGAAGGTGGTGTGTGCTGGTCTGTCTCTGGTGACACTACCTGTTGCTCGTGGCTACCCTCATGATGACTGAAGGTTCTCAGTCAGTGGCAGACCCTGCTCCAGCCCAGATGCAGGCCCCAGCAAGCCCAGTGACAGTCCCAGGCAGGCCCCAGGGGGTAAATGTCTGATAAGGGGTATGGGGGATGTCTGGTGAAGGTGTTCAGTGGCACAGGGGTGGGGGGAGGGGGATCACTTAAAATGACACAGGAGGATCAGAGGGGGCAATCAAAATGACACAGGAGGATCAAAAGGGGTTACTAAAATGGTAATCCCCCCTCTGATTCTCATGTGCCATTTTGATTCCCCCCTCTGATCCTCCCTGTGTCCTTTTAAGTGATCCTCCTCCCCCCACCTTGATACCCCAATTCCTTTTTTTTTACCCCTAGAAATGAGCACAAAAAGAAAAAGCTACTCCGTGGAGTACAAGAAAGGAATCGTGGAAGACTCTTGGGGCCAAAATCTTACTGCTTTCTGCAAAGAGAAGATGTTGAGTATCCGATTGATCTGAAAATGGCAAGCAGAGTATGGTAACCTCATTGAACAAGTAACAAGGGAAATGCTAAAAAGTGCAAGTGTGGATCAGGTCGGCAACCATTATTTTCTGAGCTGGAAGACCTGATCTGTGAATGGGTTGTTGACAGGAGAGCAAAGGCTTTGGTTGTGAATAGGGCTCAGATTCAAGAATTTGCCCTTGCAATGGCACCACAGTTGGACATAGCCTCCGAAGACTTCAAAGCATCACAACACTGGCTGGATAATTTCCTTCAGTGAAGTGAACTGTCTTTAAGAAGATCTACAACATTGTTTAGGTTGGAAGATACTCAAGTTATTAAGTGAGCACTTGCATTCAAGTCCTTTATTGATGATGCTGACTTCTCTAAATACAATCTTTCCAACATGATTGCTATGGATGAAACTGCAATCATCTCAAACAACAATTGAACAGTGGGGTGCCTCCTTAGTGTACATTCCCTCCACTGCTTACAAAAGTTGCACGTGTTTCCTGTACTTTGGCAATTCGTCCGGATGGCACTAAAATCCCACCTTAAATCATTTCTAAGGACAAGAAGAAAAAGATTGAAAGTGTTTTGGGCATTTTTATTCTTGAAACTGAAAAAGCCTGGGCCACACAAGCAGTTATAAGGAAGTGGGTTGATTTAATACTGCCGCTTGTTATTTGAGGGAGCCAAAGAGGTCTGCTAGTCTGGGATGCAGCCAGCACTCACCGCACTAAAGACAAGAAGACATTTCTTCATGAAAGAAAAATAGATCAGATAATGATTCCCACAGGAATGACGGCCTATCTCCAGACTCCTAATATTGCAATAAACAAGCCATTCAAAGACAATTTGCACATGGAAATTAATGACTACATTGAAAATAGAATGGAGAGAAATCAGCATGGAAACTTTGTGAAACCTAAACTGCAAGAAGTTGTGACTTGGGTGAAGAATTCATGGGAGAAAATCACTGACAGTTGCATTGCAAATGCACTGCGAGCAGGCTACCTTGACAAGAAGTACTCATTTAAAGACAGTGTTATTGTTAAACATGAGAGATTTGGTCCACTGATTCTGAAAGAAATGGAGTCACAAGAAATTCATCAGAAAATTCAGGAATTGGATTGTTATGATGATGTTCCAGAAGATGATGACATGATTGTCATTGAATAAATGAGTAAATTCTTGATACTGTAGGATTCACAGTTTGTGTTGACAACTACTGTACTACCATACCGTATACAGGTAATAAATTTCCTTTATTTTCATTTAACAATAAATGTGTACCATATTCTTCTTCATGGAAAAATAAGACACACCCTGAAAAAGACCTAGCGCATCTTTGGGAGCAAAAATGAATATAAGACACTGTCTCATTTTCAGGGAAACAGGGTAGTTCTATAACAGTCCATATAGATCTGCCTTGTCTATTTCATCTACCAGAGGTTACTTCAGAGTATGGCTGTTTCACAGTTGATTTAACCTTTTCTTACTGATGGGCATTTGTTTTCCGCTTTTGGTGTTGCTCTTTTATATGCTTCTTTGTGCACGTGTTTAAGCATTTCTCTGGGAGATACACATAGTGGCATTGCTAGGTGCTAGGGAAGTCACATGGAGTAAAAGTAATGAATACAGTTAAATGGTACTCCATATGGGCTGCACCAATCTCCTAGCTCCACCACCTTGCAAACACTGGATACTACCAATTATTTTACTTTTAGCTAGTTGGATTTGTAAAATGATGGCTCATCTTACATTCCCCCTTCCTGATTACTGTGACACTGTGTATCTCTTATTGTGAATTCCTCATGAATGTCCTCAGCCCACCTTGCCATTGATTTGTTGGACTTCTTATTAATTTTGGGAGGCTTTTATTTATTTTATTTTTTAAAAATATATTTTATCAGAGAGGAAGGGAGAGGGATAGAGAGTTAGAAACATCGATGAGAGAGAAACATTGATTAGCTGCCAAGATACATGCCCTTGAGAAGGAAGGCACATGTATGGAGAACACTATAGGGGAAGGCAGGAAGAACTTCATTCCGTAAGAATGGTGCAGATTAAATGCCAACTGGGCAGTGCAGGATTCTTTTCTGCAGGAGGTGGCACTTAAGCCACAAGGGGACTGAGAGGTTGTTTGGCTTGGCTGCTGTGCATATTCCAGGAAAGGGATCAAAGCTAGATAAGAGGGGACAGCTATGATCGAGGGAGGGTTGGCAAGCTACCTACTGTCCATAGCTCCAATGTGGCTGCCACCTGCTTCTGTACAACATAGGAGCTAAGAATGGTTTTCACATGTTTAAATGATTAAAAAAAACACACACAAAAGAAGATGATTATAACATAAAAATGACATGAAATTCACATTTCAGCATCCATAAGTAAAATCTTCTTGAAACATAGCTGCGCCCATTTGTGTACTGTCTGTGGCTGCTTCCGTGCTGCACCAGCATAACTGAGGGTGGTGGCAGAGAATGTTCACCTTCTCGGTTTTTACAGAAAGAATTGACTGACCCCTGATACAGAGACTCGAATCAATGAGATTTAGGAGTTTGACCCTTATGTGCTGGGCAATGAACCAGGAAGTATAGGATCAGCTGTTTATGAGGAAGATGACTGTGACCAGGGTGGAGGTTTGCAGATGAGACAGAGAAAGAGAGAGAGAGAGAGAGAGAGAGAGAGAGAGAGAGAGAGAGAGAGAGAGAGAGAGAGAGAGATATGCCTTAAGTTGACTGTGAAATAATCTAAGTAACAAGTAACTGGGTTTCAATTCTAGAAGTTGAAAAAAGGAGGGGAAATGTGGCAGGTTCATTCCTTTATTAAGGTTTATGATTTATAATAAGAACTATGTATTTGGTCTTCATCCTCAGTCCCTGAAACAGGGCTCCTGAAACTCTCCTACTTCTCAAATCATAAGGGCATGAGGAGCCTCTTTTGTTCCCATGAGGGGATTTGGGGCGGGCTCCCAGGTGGCTCCGGGGTGTGTTCCGGTCCCCAGAAAGAGGAAGCAGTAAGGAAGACCAAGGTTGTCATTTTCAGCTCCACCTCCCACTTCTTCAGAGAGGGAAAGGGGCTAGAAATGGAGTTAATATTGGATCATGCCTGTATGAGGCAGCCTCCATAGACCCCAATAGTATGGGGTTCAGAGCTTTCAGGACGGTGAACACATTTATGTACTGGGAGGGTGACAACCCCTAACTCCTCAGGGACAGAAGCTCCTGTGCTTTTTTTTTTTTTTTTTAATTATCATATCTTTTAATAAACAGATGAATGTGAGTGTGTCCCTGAGATCTGTGAGCTATTTCAGCAAATAATAAGATCCAAAGTGGAGGAGGTCACTTCCAGCCAAGTTGGACAGAAGTGGTGGGTAACCTGGGGCTTGCTACTTGTGATTGGCCTCTAACCTGTGTGGGAGGGTGGCGTCTCACAGGATTGAGCCCAGGATCTGACACTATCTCCAGGTAGACAGTGTCAGAATTGAGTTAAATTGTAGCACACACAGCTGGGGTCCTAAAATTGCTTGGTGTGGGTACCATTCTCCCTCCCCACCACCACCACACACACACACATTTGTGATCAGAAATATCAGAATAAAGTGTTCTGCTGCTGGTGGGAATGCAGACTGGTACAGCCATTATGGAAAACAGTACAGAGTGTCCTCAAAAATTAAATATGGAACTGACATTTGACCCAGTGATCCCACTTCTAGAAATATATCCTAAGAAACCTGAAGCACCAATCAGAAAGAATATATGCACCCCTATGTTCATAGCAGCACAACTTACAATAGCTAAGATCTGGAAACAGCCCAAATGCCCATTAGTGGGTGAGTGGATTAAAAAATTGTGATACATTTATACCATGGAATAGTATACAGCAGTAAAACAACAACAACAACAACAACTCTCACCCTTTGAAATAAGGTCCCATTCTGGAGGTAATGAGGGCTAGAACTTTAACATGCAAATTTTGAGGAGATGCAGCTTAACCTATAACAACTACCAGAACCTGGTACAAGGTACTGTTCAGAGAAATCATTCTTCTCCCACATTCTGCCTCTGCTCATTGCATGTAGGGGATTTCCTTCTGAGCTTTCTCTGTTTACTCTGGCACCCTTGCTAAGCTCCTCACCATTCCTCCCCTAGGAGGGGAACTGTTCATTGGTGGGCCAGTGCCCACTCTTTTTGTTCATGTCCACTGGTGGGGGAGGCCGCTGTGGCCACACTCTCTGTCCCCACAGGGACACACCCTTCCCTTTGGGCCAGCACACTGCGAATCCATGTGCCCCAACTCCTGGGAAAGGTCATTTAGGACTGTTCTACAAATCCAGCCACATTTCATGATCCTTACGGGGTCGCCCAAGTGGGCCGCCTGAGGTCTGCTTCAGACCTGACCCCATGAGGATGGAATGTGCAGGTTATCAAAGTTTATGAAAATATAGGTGGTCAGTGCTTACTGATGTCAATAACACCATCCGTGAGAGGCCACCAAGAAGCAAAGACATTTTTTTTAAAACAAAGTTGACTTTATTACATTAATTTTATACAGTGAAAGAATATGAAGTGAAGATGTCTAAATTCTCTTGCTGATTCTCTTGAAGACAATGTCACCCAATGTCATGGTCTGAAAGTCAGAAAAGAAATCATGCAGTAAGTATGGTTGCAAAATTGTAATAAGTATACAATCTAACCTCTCTAACCACCTGATGTTGAATTACAAAAGATGACTAAATCATCAAAATAGCTGTAAATATGCTATCATATGGAACAGCCCAAAGAGCCCTCTGTTTTTTTTATAAGACCAGAGAAAGGGTTGGCAATCTTTTCTAAAATCCCAGGCCAACTTCTTGTCACTTTCCTTCCTCATGTAGAGACTTGTCCTGACTCTTACTGAAGTCTTTTCTACATTAATGGCTCTTAGAGCAAGACCATCAAAACCAGTTTTGTCCAATCCAGTTTCTCAAAGTTTCATTGAGTGCCTACTATGTACCAAACACATCTTGAATAGCAAGGACACATGTATTTGGAAACACTGAGGCACCCAGTCTGGAACATAGCAGATAGAGCATAATTTTCCTCCAAAGCTGCAAAGCATATAAAAACACTAGATATCTTGGACTCATCAGTTTTTGAGGCATGTTCCCTTTCCCCCCCTCCTCACCCTCCCACTGATCCACTAATTCTCTTGAACAAGATTGTTGCAGTGTCATTACATTTAAAAAGGAGTCTCTGAGTTTCTGCAGCAATGGAATGGAATGGAAAGATTTGGGTTTGAACCTTGATTCTACAACTCATTGTAGATGACCTTGGACAGGCCAACCTGTCTATTAAACCCCTCATCCTGCCTCTTTCATTGGAGATGTGAGGATTAGAAGAGACAGAGTGTATTGAAGGACATTGGCCAAGGCCAAGCCCAGGACTGATTCTCTTCTGCTCCCCTGCTGGTGTTTCCCTGATCTGCTGTGAATGTTCTGGGGGTGGAGATTGGGGGGCTTGCTCACACTGTCCCAAGTTGAAGGATTTCTCCACTTGGACTGAGTGATGACAGACCCCAGCTGTTACTCCCTAAAGTACAGTCTGGGGCAAGGAAGAGCCAGGGGACATACCGTATTTTTTGGACCATAAGACGCACTCCCCCCCCCCCCCCCAGAAGTGGGGGGAAAAAGTCCCTGCGTCTTATGGTCCAAATATAGTCTACACATATACTTAAAAAAAAAGTATTTTTACTTGCCCGGCTCTGTGTGGTCTCTGTGTGCTTGCCTGGCTCTAAAATGGTTCTGAATGCTGCTGTTTACTTTACAGGGTTGATTACATGTGTTTATGACTGTGATGTTGGGTTTTAATGCACATAAAATATTTTAGGACACTATTTGTTTCAGAATCTTTTTTTCTTCATTTCCCTTCTCTAAAAACTGGTGTGTCTTATGGTCTGGAGCGTCTTATGGTCCGAAAAATACGGTAATTGATGGAGAGACACTACACTGGGTCGGAGACAGAAGTGGCTGGCAGCCAGGCACCAAGGATGACGTGGCACACACCACGACAGTGTGCCAGATTCATAAGCTGCTATAAAACTGCCATGAATAGGATTTTCTTTATTAATGCCAAATAGGCAAAGGCATTTGCTGCCTGCTCTGGGCTTGTTGGGCCCATAGATGTCTTTGTGGCTTCTTGGTGAGTGTGGAGGCAGAAGAGAAGGGCTATTATGACTAATAATCATTGCATTGTCACAAAACAAAAAGCAACAAAAGGGCCCAACTTTTGGCCAAACAAAACCTTCCTTGCATGTGGGTTCTGTGTCAGTGGAAGGGCTGTTCTGGGAATCAGAGGCACACAGGAGGCAACAAGTGGATTTCTGCCCTCTAGCCGGTGAGCGTGTCCTGAGGCCAAATCCCAGAGGAGACTGAGGAGGGTGGGCTGTGCTGGTAGGTCTACATGACCCTACCCAGCGCCTCTCTTGCCTCATCTTACTTAGGTTTGGAGAAGGAAGGGTAGAACAACGAGGAGAGAAGGAAATGGGAAGGCTGGAGTGGTGAATCCAGACCGGGAATGTGGTGGTGGAAGGACAGCCTGAAGGAGCCCAGGGAGAGTGGGGAAGCCCCAGTGGGGGGTCGCTGCTTGCACATGTGGAGTCTGGTGAATTAGAAAAGGGTGCCCCTTCCTCAAGACACTGATCTGTTGGAAAGCCAAGCTAATGCACTCAATTCAGACTAACACTTCTGACTGGCAGACACTGCACGAGTGTAACAAGTGTGCAAGCCTAACCTGTCTGTAAGGGGAGTGGTTCCCCCGAAGGTGTGCTGTGGCACAACTGTGGGTGTGCGCCCTGTGAGACATACCCCACTCAGAGGAACCCTAGCTTTGCCTTTTCTTGCTATTTGTTGCCTCAGTGTCCCCATTTAGAAAACGGAGGGTTACTGGGAAGATTGCAGATATGTGTGTCAATTGCCTGGTACATAGTGGGTCCTCAGGAGGTGGCAGCAGAGACGAACAACAGCAAAGGAGGGGGAAAGGTGGCTTCTCACCTGGCCCTACACCTCTCCCCTCAAACACTGGGAGCCACAGCTCAGAGTGGCAACTTACGTGGGTGACTGTGTCTCCATTGAGTTCTGTCACGGACTTGATGCCTTTGAAAGATGTCACCAGTTTATTATCACCTTCCAAATTAACGACTGCCTGCAGGGGACAGAAGAGATGGCCTGTGAGGAAGGGTTTGGCTGGGAGCAAGGCATTTGCTAATGATGTTGGCTCCCCGGCATGGGTTTCTGCTTACAACAACCCATTGCTCATCTTTATATAAGGCCAACCTCCCAGCTCTCTGACTCCTAATAGAAATGAATTGTATTAAAAACTAAAACAAAACAAAAAACAAAACAAAACAAAACAAAACAAAAACTAAAACAAGCCCTGGCTGATGTGGCTCAGCAGTTGAGCGTCAACCTATGAACTAGGAGGTCACCTTTTGATTTGTGGTCAAGGCACATGCCCCGGTTGTGGGCTTAATCCCCAGCGGGGAGCATGCAGGAGACAGCCAATCAATGATTCTCTCTCATCATTGATGTTTCTCTCTCTCTCTCTCTCTCTCTCTCTCTCTCTCTCTCTCTCTCTCCCTCCCTCCCTCCCTCCCTCCCTCCCTCTCTCCCTCTCTCTTAAAAGAAAATAACTGGAAGAAATGGTCAGGATATATTTTGCCAGACTTTTAGATTTATACTTGGTGATCTAGAAATCAGCATACAACACCTAACTGGCTCAAAACACTGAAGTAAACTTGAGTAAAATCTCAATTCTCCAAGCTAAAGGAGGGAGGTGGTAGCAAGATTTCAGAACTGGCCGGTTGGGAGAGCACATTCTAGCATGCTTATCATCCTTCTTGGGGTATCTATCCTTCTCAAGCTTTATGTATCCAGGGAGAGCTAACAGAAACCCAGGAAGAGGAAACAGGGAGCAGAAGACACTGGCCAGCATTAAAAATTTGCCTCCAAAAAGGACAATTGGAAAAGGTCTGTGGTAAAACCCATGACCATGTGCCCCTTCCTATGGGCACATGGAAAATATTTTCCCCCTAAGTTTTATTCCAGATTTCTTGACCTGTAGTGTTGTATCTGGAGAAGCAGAAATGAAGACTGATCAAAGGTAAAAGTACTGACGTGCTGAGCCCAATGCACGAAATTGTCTGGAGGGGAGGAGTAGAGGCGGCTGCTGGCCATGTGAGGTGGGTGGAATTTGTAAGGAAGGAAGAGAGGCTCCTGGTGGAGGGCACCCCAGTGCCTGGATCTCCATGCCAGCGCCTGCTGACGCTCACACAGCCCGCACCCAGCGCTCATTACACACCTGAGCCACCGCCCAGCGGAAAAGATGTGGCCCTGTCTTCAGTCTGAGAAGGGTGACGGTGCCTGTTTTACAGATGAGGTAGCTGAGGCTGGGGGCTCTGGGGTCACCCCTGAAGACTTGGTATTCTAGGGTTGTCAGCACCTCCTCCAGGAAGCTTCTCACCAGAACCAATGGCTTGAGGCCTAGCAAAGCCAGTTTAATTTGGACTCAAGGAGACCAGAGCTCTGTGAAGGGATTTTCATTGACCCCCACTTGCCCACTGTTGGGCCTGGAAGAACCTGGGACTTAGTTCCTTGCTGAATGCATGGTCCCGCCAGTTCCTCCGTAGTGGGAGAGCTCGGATTCTTGGGTCAGAGCACCCCCATCATCGGTCCTTTGGGAAGTTTTCCCTAAGAGCTTCTTCCCTAGGAGCTGACATTGTCTTTCTGCTTACTTTCCCAGAAGTAAGTTCAGAGAAAGGGCATCCATGGTGGGAATGTGAGGTGTGACCCTCGAGGGAAGAAGCCCTGGGACCAAGCTCCAAGAAAAGTTCCAGAAGCAGAGTGTGGCTGGAGGGGCTTCTCTTACCTTGACCTTCTCCCCAGTCATGGTCTCCAGCTCGCACTCCTCCCCCAAGGTGAACTCATTCTGGATCACTTTAGACCCGGTGGTGATGGTGAGCTTGAAGTGTTTCCCATTCTGCACGACCTCCGACACTCCCTTGAGGTCCTTCCCCTTCTGGATGAGGTCGTCAGGCAGACCTGGTGGAAACCATCTGAGGTTTAGAGACCGGCAGAGGTGGGAGTTGCAAGGCAGAGGTCACAGAGAAAGTTTGTAGTACGGAGGGGGAGAGGGAAGTGCTGTGTCTCCCTGGAGGCCACAGGCATGGAGTCCTGTGAGTAACATGGGCCTTAACATGGGCTGGCTCACCATCTTGTCAGTTGGTTTATATAGAAGATACTCTTCTGTCTTTTATTTATTTATTTATTTATTTATTTTTAATATTCACCAGGGGATATTTTCCCATTGATCTTTTAGAGAGATGGAAAGACAGAAAGACAGAAAGAATCATCTATGTGAGAGAAACACATCGATTGGTTGCCTCATGCATGCTCCCTGACCAAGGAGGAGTCTACAACCAAGGTACGTGCCCCCAACTGTAATCAAATCTGGGACCCTTTGGTCTTCAGGCTGATGCTCTATCGGATATCCACTGAGCAAAACCGGCTAGGGCTGAAGATCTCTCCCATCATGAGCACCTGGTTCTTGCTCACTCTCCTTCCTCACTGTCCTCCTTTAACACCCAGAGAATTTGCTTTTTGAGTATAAGTATTTATTTCATCCTCCACACTCTAGTTGGCTGATACAGTTTATCTTTCAAGCCAGATCACTCTTGAGAGTGAGAAGTGGGGTTGGGGATGGTACTGTACCAGAGCAACATGCACCAACTGGGCCTGTCCTGGTCAACATCTGTCCACCTAGCCCTATCTTGACCTCTGCTGGCAAGGCTCTCGAAGAGGAGGTATCAGGTGTCCCTTCCCCTGGGACAGAGCTTTACAAATTTCATAGCATGTATGTGGTGTCATATGAATTGAGTTTTACAAATCCACATGCGTTGATAGTGGATGGGGTGTGTGTGTGTGTGTCCTGTAGCACAGGTGAGGGAGAAGTGGCATGACTTCCCTATAGGAGATCCAAGCTCTCTGAAGGTCCTCCTCCTCTGTCTTTGCTGTTTTTCCCACCCTTCTCCCTCTTGGCACCCTTCCTTGTCACATGGCCCCTTTGCTCATAAGGCTTCCTCTACCAGGAGTGCAATCCCCTTTTCCAGTCCCCTAGTGGACACCGGCTCATCTCCCAAGGTTTAGCCAAGGCTCACCTTCATCACCATCAAACTTCCTCTCCTTGCCCTCCTGTGAGCACCACATCCTCCTGCACAATCCTCTGGGGGACACGGCGGGTGAAAGTGGGGTCTCTGGGAACCAGTGCCTGCTTCAATTCCGGTGCAAACGCTCCCTACCTGAGTGACCTTGGTTGGGATTACTTAACCTTTCGAGGTCTCAGTTGCTTTGACTGTAAAATGGGAAAAGTAATAGTACCCAACTCAGAGTTTTTTCATTGAGGATTCAGTGGGATATTGCATGTCAAGGGCTTAGCACAGTGC